ATTTTCTAGAAATTTTATAGTGCTTAATATCGACTGTACCCACTGTTAGCCCTTGCTGCCCTTGCCTTTACCGCCTTATGTCTGTAATGAGCAAACAAAACAAAGAAATGATTAACAGCATTTACACGGGCGTCTTGACTGGGACGGCGATACAAACTTCGAAAAACTGCAAAATTTCTTTAAATTCTTTTATAGTGTATTATTGGAGATGCCTACTGAATCCGGTGGAGACGCCAGAATGATGGCGACATGCTTTCTTTGTGATGTGGAGGACGGGCACGTTACGATTGGGTGTATCGGCTCCGACAGCTTGACCATGAACACTGCATGCTCTAGCGGATAGCGGCGTAGATGGATCTGTGCAGAATGTGACGTAACTGTCCAAACACAGAACTCGGTGTTGATCAGGACAGAAAAGCTGACCAACCTGACGGCTGGGGACTACCAGAGTTATTAAGGTCGCGGCCAGAAGAGAATAGGAACGGATGACGTCATCGAGGCCTCAAAGGAAGCGCAGGACCTGGAGCTAAGGTTGTTGGAAGAAGATAATTGGTTGCAGCTCCCAAGGGAGTGGCTATCGCAGAATGGACTCGCAGAGAAGATGCCTGGAGTACACGGTCCCAATAAATGCTTGTACGGATACAATAAATGAAGTTTCCCGTGTGGAAGGAAACGGTAGAGAGTCCACGCTGGGCCCCATGGCTTTTTTCTACCACTGGAGAGGACAGCTCAGCTGCTAAGGTTAGTAAACCTGCGGGCAGACCATCTTACGAACAGCGAGAAAGACTAGCGCGGCTGAGTTGGTGAAGTTTTTCGGTAGGTCGGAGGACTGGCCCTTGTTCATCGCAACGAATGAGCAGACGACGGAGTTAGGCGGATTCACGGATGCCGATAATCTGATGCAGCTTCGGCATGCATGTCGCAAGCGCAGATAATCGCTACGCTGAGAATGCCTTTTGGGCGACCTAAAATTATCATCGACTTGTTGTGTTGAGTTTCTCAGTATAATTAGGTGTATATGATCATTTAAGGCTCATATCCTTCTACGTGATGTATGCAAAATTAATATTTCAGGAAATATGGTGAAGTGGATGTGCCTGAGATGACCCCATGGCTTTGGTATATCCCGGACTTTGAGAAGATGACCATCCCAATATGCCACATGAAGATGTCTCTGATGGATACAGTATTTTTTTTTTTTATATTCGTTGCATTTAGTTACTCGGTAACAATAATGTTTACATAAATAACAAATAGATATTTGGAGGGAGAGGGTGGGGTTGGTGATGGATAGTTTAGGGCTTGAGTACGGGTGGGACGGTCGCTAGGCAATGCTTCGTCCGACACAGGTCCCAACTCTCCACCCTACCGCCTCTCCTGCTCGATACTCCTCAGCCAGCAATGCTAACCACCTCTGCTATGGCATACACTGTCGAGGAAGGCCCTTTCGGAACTGGAACTGCTTGGGAGACAGCCATCCCGCCTCCTCAATGGCAGCTACGAGACTCATAAGGTGGGCAAGGGAGATCCTACCCGACTTCCAACCGGCAAAGGTGGGTGTGAGGCTGGAGACAAAAAATCAAGCTGGGACGGATCCTGCCATGGAGATCGCGCAGAGTGCGAAGAGGCAGAGCCGGCTGACCCTAACACCATCCTGGCGATGCTGAGGATGTGCAACCCGACGCTTCCCACGGCGGACTGCAGAGTCGTTAAGGTGGAAGAGGCGGTAGGGCAGGTTGTCCTCACTCTTAACGAAGAGACCGTGAAGATCCTGGAAGCACGTAGAGGTCCGTATTTACAAGTCCGATGTCAACAGCAAAGCCGGAGGCATTGAGCTGGAGGCAGACGCACAAGAGCTAGACTTGGAGGAGCCGACTGAAAAGCAGCACCCGGAAGAAACATCGGATGGGGAGGAGGATATCCTGAAAGGGTAGACCTCAGGCGTCGGGGTGGAGAATAACTTTCTGCTGAGCGCCGAGATGGACGCAGAGGTTACTGTGGTGGATAATCTCAAGAATGTCTCTGACAATCTTGCAGATAAACCTCCACCACAGTAAGGCGGCATCAGCTGCCCTCAACCTCCACCTCGCCGAGAGTGGTGTTGATGTGGGCCTCGTCCAGGAACCCTGGATCCTTGGACAGGGTTTTTGGTTTGGGGGCGTCGGAGTAAAAGCCGATAAAACAGGTAAAAGGCGAGCCTGCATCCTCCCAAAAAAGAACCTTATCCTCTTTTTGGTACCTAATTTCAGCAATGAAGACTACGTATCCGCAGCAATAGAGAGCCCAAAGGGACCTCTAATGATGTGCTTGGTGTATATAGGCCACGACCAGAAGCTGGTGGCAAACAGCTGGTGGAAGACAGCGGGTAGCAAAAGACAGCCTACCAGTGCACCCCAAAACAACCAGAGGTTAGTGAAAGCCCTGAGAGGCGAGGCCCGCGAGACGGTGAAGTCGTTGCTCATCCATCCCAGCAACGTAGGAGCCGTTATGGAGCAGCTTCGATTCCAGTATGGACGTCCGGAGCTACTCATCCGTAGCCAACTGGATAGCGTGCGCGATGTGCAGCCAATACAGGAGGCCGACATCGCAAGGATCGTGCCGTTCGTACAACCTGGCAGCTTTCCTGCAGTCAACCCCGATCGGCAACCAGCACCTAGGGAACCCAACCCTAATGGAGGAGCTGATCGCCAAGTTGCCGCTGAGCAGGAGGTTGGACTGGGTGAAGCACGCTATAACGATACAGCCGTACCTGACAGTGGTGCACCTGAGCGAATGGCTTCACGAATTCGCAAGACTTGTGTGCACTGTCACGGACGCTGAAGCCAAGGAGCAACCGAGGCGAAGGATCCTGCACGCAAATAGTACTCGCGAGGAGGATCGGTATGCCGACCACCCCAGATGTTGCCCTATATGCGAGAGACAACACCAGATCAGGGACTGCAAGGATTTTAAAAGCGCATCTACAACGACGCGGATCGAGTCCGCGAGGAAGCTGAGGCTATGCTTTTCGTGTCTGGAGCCCGGACACATGTCCCGGTTCAGCAGGAAGAGCCGCGGATGCAACGTTCTTGGATGCCAAATGTGGCATCACTTCCTCCTCCACGAGTCACCTGGACATCCCAGAAGGCCGCCAGTCGCAGATGGAGGAAGCAGGAGAGGAATGCCACGACCAGTGGACTCCAACGAAAGGAGCCGTCCTACGTCAGCCGCAGTTAGGTTATTAGGTTATTTGGTCGCACTAAAATCGGGTAAAAAAGGAAAACAATATTTGGCAATTACACCGATTTGCGCCATCACAAGGAGAGGGAACAGAAAACTGAGGTACGTTAGCCATTTGTAAATGTAAGAGCTAAGTAGATATTGTAAATTATTCCAGAATAAAACGAACGAACGAATCGAACTCGAACTATTTATCCAACGTTAAAGGCATTCCCCGTGATCAGCCAAGCGGCGTCAATAGTAATTCTGATAAGATTGATCGTAAAACTGCTCCCGCGTCAAATTACCGATTATAGATTATTAAATCAGCACGTAAACACGTGCCGAAGCTTTCTTTCTACTTTGACACTCGAGGGAAGCGGATGAAAAGTGAGATGATGAAATAAAAATTGGATTACGATTTTTACGATTCTTATTTTCTAGAAATTTTATAGTGCTTAATATCGACTGTACCCACTGTTAGTCCTTGCTGCCCTTGCTCTTACCGCCCTTTGTCTGTTATGAGCGAACAAAACAAATGAATGGTTAACAGCATTTACATGGAGAAAATGTATGAATTTCAGGACTGCAGAAACTTACGCATGATATGGGCAATCCGTTCTAGGAAAAGATCAATGATGCTTATCGCCCTCAATAGGCAGGTCTGCTGTCCAACGGTCAAGGCCATCACGAGGCACTGGTTAATAGGAACGCACGCGGCTAGACTAGCGGTGCTCTTTGCCTTCATCCGGAAAGCTGGATATGACCGCGAATCGCCTTACATTACCTATCATTAATAGATTGGAGGGAGGAGGTCCCCTTTGGAGACCTTTTGCCTGTGCGGTATCACAGGGATCCCCAGTGGCTCAAGTGGATGGGAAGGTCAACCTAACCTAACCTATCATATAATTTTTTTTTCTCGGTATCGTTATACCAACTGAAGAAATGTTACTTTTGGGACAGATAGTAAAACTGCTCCTGCGGCATGTGATAGCACCGAAGTCACAGAACCGATACTTTAAGCAGGTGTTGAATATCTGTTAAGTCAGTCTATTAAGTTAAGTCAGCCTTTACACTCGAGGAAAGCAGACGAAAATTTTTTTTTTTTAAACTTCTTTTATTTCTAATCTGTTTGTTGAAACAATAAGTAAATTTTATGATTAATATTAAATTGACAGAAATATCAATTTTCCAATGAACCGAGATATTAAATTTAACATCTTTTCAGTTGGTTGCATTTACATCGGGGAGATCGAGTATGTGGTATCTTTTCAGTCTTCTTACTGTAAAACTATTGTCTACTAGGTTTAAGGCTTACTTATCTTTGTGAATATTTGCATTATTTGCATTATTTGGTATTTCTTTTATAAGTACGAAACATGAAAATCTTAAATCTATTTAAAACTACTTATCAACGCACTGCACGCTGACATGCTATGCGACCCTTTCTCAAGTGCGATAAGCGCACCACTTATGTATGTGTTTGTGTTAGGCTACAGGGGATCGGTTTTAGACCATGCTGTTTGTGTCTTATTTCATGGGTCGGATCCCTTGAAACTCTAACTTAACAATTTGTATATATAATAGTGTTCAATGCTTGAAAATTCTGGAAAGAGCCACAAAAAGAGGTGTAAATTTGATGTGTTTTTGATTAACATTTTTTTAATAAATTTGATGTTACTTAAACCTTTTCTTCGATTATAATTTAAGTGGACTGTATAAAAGTCTATTTTTGTTTTTGTATTTTGATAATAAATTTTTTTTCTTTTAATAAATAGTGAAAGTATAATTTAATTTGAATTTTAATATTTTAAATGTTTTAAGTTTTCATTTGTTATGTTCCACCCAATGTTTCAACATCCTTCAAAGGGCCACAAAAGGGCCTTGGAAATATAATTGACAATTTTTATCGATGTTTTTTTTTAATTATTATTTTTTTGAATTGTAAATATTTTTTTTTTAATTTTTACCATACCGTACAGTTTTTAAAATTTCCTTATTGATGCGTGTTCCTCCTGAAGATGATGTAAAAGGATCCGATCTTGATGCTGCTGATGGTGTAGCTGGTTGTTTTTTCTGGCGCTGATGTTCTTCTACTAGCCGGTGGTCCTGCCGCAGACGATGGTCCCGCCGTATAAAATACCAAAGACTTTGGCTGTCGACTTTTTGTTTTTGCTCGATATTTGGCCTAGAACACGCCGTATATTAATTTATTATTTATGTATTTCCGGCGTTGTTCCGGAAAAACTTATTTTTTATGTTTTATTTTATTTTTTTTTAATTGAAATCTTGTTTTTGATTTCCCACAACTGTGATCAGAATCTTTCCCTACACAAGTTGTATTTTTAACTCCTTGCGCCATATTGCTTTGGAGATCCGATGGCTTAATTCCAGCCCAAAGATTTTTTATAAACATTCCGATGTAAGGCCTCGGACAGTCCTGCGCTAAACAATAAACCCACTTATTGCTCTATGGCAATTCTCAATCTCTGTGTCCCATAACACTTGGGGGGAAACATCAGAGGACTACGATTTTAAACTGAGCTCTTTTACGCCCAGTTCGCAGATATCTTAGCTACCTTGGACTGAGTGTGTCAATGCACATCTAGCCACTATATAGGTGCCAATTTTAATAGGAGCCCCAAAAAACGGTTGGGAATACTCCTAGAGCCTTTTTTTGACTCATTTTTATTATTGTTTTTATTTTATTATTTTTTATATTTGAATGCTCATTGGCATTTATATAATTTTATTCTCTGTTTCTCTTACCTCTTGGGGGAAACAACAGAGGACTACGATTTTTAAACTGGGCTCTTTTTTACCCAGATCGCAGCCTTATTTTTTTTAGCTACCTTGGGCTGAGAATTTTTATTTTTCTACAGTCACTTATAGGTGCCAGCTTAAAACCTTAGTCTCTTACTACAGGGGGGAAAACGTCAGGGTGCCTCGAAGGACCAAATGTTAAAAGGAGCCCTAAATAAATAAGTCTTACTTCCAATTTTTATGGAATTCCTTTTTCTGTGTCCCTTACGACTTATGGGGAAACAACAGAGGATCCGGCTCGAAGGACCAAATGTAAGAGGAACCCTAAATAAATAGGTCTTACTCCAATGAGTTCCTTTCGGAAACTGATTTTATTTTATACATGAAAATCCTAAATCTATTTAAAACTACTTATCAACGCACTGCACGCTGACATGCTATGCGACCCTTTCTCAAGTGCGATAAGCGCACCACTTATGTATGTGTTTGTGTTAGGCTACAGGGGATCGGTTTTAGACCATGCTGTTTGTGTCTTATTTCATGGGTCGGATCCCTTGAAACTCTAACTTAACAATTTGTATATATAATAGTGTTCAATGCTTGAAAATTCTGGAAAGAGCCACAAAAAGAGGTGTAAATTTGATGTGTTTTTGATTAACATTTTTTTTTTAAATTTGATGTTAGTTAAACCTTTTCTTCGATTATAATTTAAGTGGACTGTATAAAAGTCTATTTTTGTTTTTGTATTTTGATAATAAATTTTTTTTCTTTTAATAAATAGTGAAAGTATAATTTAATTTGAATTTTAATATTTTAAATGTTTTAAGTTTTCATTTGTTATGTTCAACCCAATGTTTGAACATCCTTCAAAGGGCCACAAAAGGGCCTTGGAAATATAATTGACAATTTTTATCGATGTTTTTTTTAATTATTATTTTTTTGAATTGTAAATATTTTTTTTTTTTTAATTTTTACCATACCGTACAGTTTTTAAAATTTCCTTATTGATGCGTGTTCCTCCTGAAGATGATGTAAAAGGATCCGATCTTGATGCTGCTGATGGTGTAGCTGGTTGTTTTTTCTGGCGCTGATGTTCTTCTACTAGCCGGTGGTCCTGCCGCAGACGATGGTCCCGCCGTATAAAATACCAAAGACTTTGGCTGTCGACTTTTTGTTTTTGCTCGATATTTGGCCTAGAACACGCCGTATATTAATTTATTATTTATGTATTTCCGGCGTTGTTCCGGAAAAACTTATTTTTTATGTTTTATTTTATTTTTTTTTAATTGAAATCTTGTTTTTGATTTCCCACAACTGTGATCAGAATCTTTCCCTACACAAGTTGTATTTTTAACTCCTTGCGCCATATTGCTTTGGAGATCCGATGGCTTAATTCCAGCCCAAAGATTTTTTATAAACATTCCGATGTAAGGCCTCGGACAGTCCTGCGCTAAACAATAAACCCACTTATTGCTCTATGGCAATTCTCAATCTCTGTGTCCCATAACACTTGGGGGGAAACATCAGAGGACTACGATTTTAAACTGAGCTCTTTTACGCCCAGTTCGCAGATATCTTAGCTACCTTGGACTGAGTGTGTCAATGCACATCTAGCCACTATATAGGTGCCAATTTTAATAGGAGCCCCAAAAAACGGTTGGGAATACTCCTAGAGCCTTTTTTTTGACTCATTTTTATTATTGTTTTTATTTTATTATTTTTTATATTTGAATGCTCATTGGCATTTATATAATTTTATTCTCTGTTTCTCTTACCTCTTGGGGGAAACAACAGAGGACTACGATTTTTAAACTGGGCTCTTTTTTACCCAGATCGCAGCTTTATTTTTTTAGCTACCTTGGGCTGAGAATTTTTATTTTTCTACAGTCACTTATAGGTGCCAGCTTAAAACCTTAGTCTCTTACTACAGGGGGGAAAACGTCAGGGTGCCTCGAAGGACCAAATGTTAAAAGGAGCCCTAAATAAATAAGTCTTACTTCCAATTTTTATGGAATTCCTTTTTCTGTGTCCCTTACGACTTATGGGGAAACAACAGAGGATCCGGCTCGAAGGACCAAATCTAAGAGGAACCCTAAATAAATAGGTCTTACTCCAATGAGTTCCTTTCGGAAACTGATTTTATTTTATACATGAAAATCCTAAATCTATTTAAAACTACTTATCAACGCACTGCACGCTGACATGCTATGCGACCCTTTCTCAAGTGCGATAAGCGCACCACTTATGTATGTGTTTGTGTTAGGCTACAGGGGATCGGTTTTAGACCATGCTGTTTGTGTCTTATTTCATGGGTCGGATCCCTTGAAACTCTAACTTAACAATTTGTATATATAATAGTGTTCAATGCTTGAAAATTCTGGAAAGAGCCACAAAAAGAGGTGTAAATTTGATGTGTTTTTGATTAACATTTTTTTAATAAATTTGATGTTACTTAAACCTTTTCTTCGATTATAATTTAAGTGGACTGTATAAAAGTCTATTTTTGTTTTTGTATTTTGTTAATAAATTTTTTTTCTTTTAATAAATAGTGAAAGTATAATTTAATTTAAATTTTAATATTTTAAATGTTTTAAGTTTTCATTTGTTATGTTCAACCCAATGTTTGAACATCCTTCAAAGGGCCACAAAAGGGCCTTGGAAATATAATTGACAATTTTTATCGATGTTTTTTTTAATTATTATTTTTTTGAATTGTAAATATTTTTTTTTTTAATTTTTACCATACCGTACAGTTTTTAAAATTTCCTTATTGATGCGTGTTCCTCCTGAAGATGATGTAAAAGGATCCGATCTTGATGCTGCTGATGGTGTAGCTGGTTGTTTTTTCTGGCGCTGATGTTCTTCTACTAGCCGGTGGTCCTGCCGCAGACGATGGTCCCGCCGTATAAAATACCAAAGACTTTGGCTGTCGACTTTTTGTTTTTGCTCGATATTTGGCCTAGAACACGCCGTATATTAATTTATTATTTATGTATTTCCGGCGTTGTTCCGGAAAAACTTATTTTTTATGTTTTATTTTATTTTTTTTTAATTGAAATCTTGTTTTTGATTTCCCACAACTGTGATCAGAATCTTTCCCTACACAAGTTGTATTTTTAGCTCCTTGCGCCATATTGCTTTGGAGATCCGATGGCTTAATTCCAGCCCAAAGATTTTTTATAAACATTCCGATGTAAGGCCTCGGACAGTCCTGCGCTAAACAATAAACCCACTTATTGCTCTATGGCAATTCTCAATCTCTGTGTCCCATAACACTTGGGGGGAAACATCAGAGGACTACGATTTTAAACTGAGCTCTTTTACGCCCAGTTCGCAGATATCTTAGCTACCTTGGACTGAGTGTGTCAATGCACATCTAGCCACTATATAGGTGCCAATTTTAATAGGAGCCCCAAAAAACGGTTGGGAATACTCCTAGAGCCTTTTTTTTGACTCATTTTTATTATTGTTTTTATTTTATTATTTTTTATATTTGAATGCTCATTGGCATTTATATAATTTTATTCTCTGTTTCTCTTACCTCTTGGGGGAAACAACAGAGGACTACGATTTTTAAACTGGGCTCTTTTTTACCCAGATCGCAGCTTTATTTTTTTTAGCTACCTTGGGCTGAGAATTTTTATTTTTCTACAGTCACTTATAGGTGCCAGCTTAAAACCTTAGTCTCTTACTACAGGGGGGAAAACGTCAGGGTGCCTCGAAGGACCAAATGTTAAAAGGAGCCCTAAATAAATAAGTCTTACTTCCAATTTTTATGGAATTCTTTTTTCTGTGTCCCTTACGACTTATGGGGAAACAACAGAGGATCCGGCTCGAAGGACCAAATCTAAGAGGAACCCTAAATAAATAGGTCTTACTCCAATGAGTTCCTTTCGGAAACTGATTTTATTTGTTATTTCTCTTATAAGTACGATACATGAAAATCCTAAATCTATTTAAAACTACTTATCAACGCACTGCACGCTGACATGCTATGCGACCCTTTCTCAAGTTCGATAAGCGCACCACTTATGTATGTGTTTGTGTTAGGCTACAGGGGATCGGTTTTAGACCATGCTGTTTGTGTCTTATTTCATGGGTCGGATCCCTTGAAACTCTAACTTAACAATTTGTATATATAATAGTGTTCAATGCTTGAAAATTCTGGAAAGAGCCACAAAAAGAGGTGTAAATTTGATGTGTTTTTGATTAACATTTTTTGAATAAATTTGATGTTACTTAAACCTTTTCTTCGATTATAATTTAAATGGACTGTATAAAAGTCTATTTTTGTTTTTGTATTTTGATAATAAATTTTTTTTCTTTTAATAAATAGTGATAGTATAATTTAATTTGAATTTTAATATTTTAAATGTTTTAAGTTTTCATTTGTTATGTTCAACCCAATGTTTGAACATCCTTCAAAGGGCCACAAAAGGGCCTTGGAAATATAATTGACAATTTTTATCGATGTTTTTTTTTAATTATTATTTTTTTGAATTGTAAATATTTTTTTTTTTAATTTTTACCATACCGTACAGTTTTTAAAATTTCCTTATTGATGCGTGTTCCTCCTGAAGATGATGTAAAAGGATCCGATCTTGATGCTGCTGATGGTGTAGCTGGTTGTTTTTTCTGGCGCTGATGTTCTTCTACTAGCCGGTGGTCCTGCCGCAGACGATGGTCCCGCCGTATAAAATACCAAAGACTTTGGCTGTCGACTTTTTGTTTTTGCTCGATATTTGGCCTAGAACACGCCGTATATTAATTTATTATTTATGTATTTCCGGCGTTGTTCCGGAAAAACTTATTTTTTATGTTTTATTTTATTTTTTTTTAATTGAAATCTTGTTTTTGATTTCCCACAACTGTGATCAGAATCTTTCCCTACACAAGTTGTATTTTTAACTCCTTGCGCCATATTGCTTTGGAGATCCGATGGCTTAATTCCAGCCCAAAGATTTTGTATAAACATTCCGATGTAAGGCCTCGGACAGTCTTGCGCTAAACAATAAACCCACTTATTGCTCTATGGCAATTCTCAATCTCTGTGTCCCATAACACTTGGGGGGAAACATCAGAGGACTACGATTTTAAACTGAGCTCTTTTACGCCCAGTTCGCAGATATCTTAGCTACCTTGGACTGAGTGTGTCAATGCACATCTAGCCACTATATAGGTGCCAATTTTAATAGGAGCCCCAAAAAATGGTTGGGAATACTCCTAGAGCCTTTTTTTTGACTCATTTTTATTATTGTTTTTATTTTATTATTTTTTATATTTGAATGCTCATTTGCATTTATATAATTTTATTCTCTGTTTCTCTTACCTCTTGGGGGAAACAACAGAGGACTACGATTTTTAAACTGGGCTCTTTTTTACCCAGATCGCAGCCTTATTTTTTTTAGCTACCTTGGGCTGAGAATTTTTATTTTTCTACAGTCACTTATAGGTGCCAGCTTAAAACCTTAGTCTCTTACTACAGGGGGGAAAACGTCAGGGTGCCTCGAAGGACCAAATGTTAAAAGGAGCCCTAAATAAATAAGTCTTACTTCCAATTTTTATGGAATTCCTTTTTCTGTGTCCCTTACGACTTATGGGGAAACAACAGAGGATCCGGCTCGAAGGACCAAATCTAAGAGGAACCCTAAATAAATAGGTCTTACTCCAATGAGTTCCTTTCGGAAACTGATTTCATTTGTTATTTCTCTTATAAGTACGATACATGAAAATCCTAAATCTATTTAAAACTACTTATTAACGCACTGCACGCTGACATGCTATGCGACCCTTTCTCAAGTGCGATAAGCGCACCTCTTATGTATGTGTTTGTGTTAGGCTACAGGGGATCGGTTTTAGACCATGCTGTTTGTGTCTTATTTCATGGGTCGGATCCCTTGAAACTCTAACTTAACAATTTGTATATATAATAGTGTTCAATGCTTGAAAATTCTGGAAAGAGCCACAAAAAGAGGTGTAAATTTGATGTGTTTTTGATTAACATTTTTTGAATAAATTTGATGTTACTTAAACCTTTTCTTCGATTATAATTTAAGTGGACTGTATAAAAGTCAATTTTTGTTTTTGTATTTTGATAATAAATATTTTTTCTTTTAATAAATAGTGAAAGTATAATTTAATTTGAATTTTAATATTTTAAATGTTTTAAGTTTTCATTTGTTATGTTTAACCCAATGTTTGAACATCCTTCAAAGGGCCACAAAAGGGCCTTGGAAATATAATTGACAATTTTTATCGATGTTTTTTTTTAATTATTATTTTTTTGAATTGTAAATATTTTTTTTTTTAATTTTTACCATACCGTACAGTTTTTAAAATTTCCTTATTGATGCGTGTTCCTCCTGAAGATGATGTAAAAGGATCCGATCTTGATGCTGCTGATGGTGTAGCTGGTTGTTTTTTCTGGCGCTGATGTTCTTCTACTAGCCGGTGGTCCTGCCGCAGACGATGGTCCCGCCGTATAAAATACCAAAGACTTTGGCTGTCGACTTTTTGTTTTTGCTCGATATTTGGCCTAGAACACGCCGTATATTAATTTATTATTTATGTATTTCCGGCGTTGTTCCGGAAAAACTTATTTTTTATGTTTCATTTTATTTTTTTTTAATTGAAATCTTGTTTTTGATTTCCCACAACTGTGATCAGAATCTTTCCCTACACAAGTTGTATTTTTAACTCCTTGCGCCATATTGCTTTGGAGATCCGATGGCTTAATTCCAGCCCAAAGATTTTTTATAAACATTCCGATGTAAGGCCTCGGACAGTCCTGCGCTAAACAATAAACCCACTTATTGCTCTATGGCAATTCTCAATCTCTGTGTCCCATAACACTTGGGGGGAAACATCAGAGGACTACGATTTTAAACTGAGCTCTTTTACGCCCAGTTCGCAGATATCTTAGCTACCTTGGACTGAGTGTGTCAATGCACATCTAGCCACTATATAGGTGCCAATTTTAATAGGAGCCCCAAAAAACGGTTGGGAATACTCCTAGAGCCTTTTTTTGACTCACCACTTATGTATGTGTTTGTGTTAGGCTACAGGGGACCGTTTTAGACCATGCTGTTTGTGTCTTATTTCATGGGTCGGATCCCTTGAAACTCTAACTTAACAATTTGTATATATAATAGTGTTCAATGCTTGAAAATTCTGGAAAGAGCCACAAAAAGAGGTGTAAATTTGATGTGTTTTTGATTAACATTTTTTGAAAAAATTTGATGTTACTTAAACCTTTTCTTCGATTATAATTTAAGTGGACTGTATAAAAGTCAATTTTTGTTTTTGTATTTTGATAATAAATTTTTTTTCTTTTAATAAATAGTGAAAGTATAATTTAATTTGAATTTTAATATTTTAAATGTTTTAAGTTTTCATTTGTTATGTTCAACCCAATGTTTGAACATCCTTCAAAGGGCCACAAAAGGGCCTTGGAAATATAATTGACAATTTTTATCGATGTTTTTTTTTTTTTAATTATTTTTTTGAATTGTAAATATTTTTTTTTTTAATTTTTACCATACCGTACAGTTTTTAAAATTTCCTTATTAATGCGTGTTCCTCCTGAAGATGATGTAAAAGGATCCGATCTTGATGCTGCTGATGGTGTAGCTGGTTGTTTTTTCTGGCGCTGATGTTCTTCTACTAGCCGGTGGTCCTGCCGCAGACGATGGTCCCGCCGTATAAAATACCAAAGACTTTGGCTGTCGACTTTTTGTTTTTGCTCGATATTTGGCCTAGAACACGCCGTATATTAATTTATTATTTATGTATTTCCGGCGTTGTTCCGGAAAAACTTATTTTTTATGTTTTATTTTATTTTGTTTTAATTGAATCTTGTTTTTGATTTCCCACAACTGTGATCAGAATCTTTCCCTACACAAGTTGTATTTTTAACTCCTTGCGCCATATTGCTTTGGAGATCCGATGGCTTAATTCCAGCCCAAAGATTTTTTATAAACATTCCGATGTAAGGCCTCGGACAGTCCTGCGCTAAACAATAAACCCACTTATTGCTCTATGGCAATTCTCAATCTCTGTGTCCCATAACACTTGGGGGGAAACATCAAAGGACTACGATTTTAAACTGAGCTCTTTTACGCCCAGTTTGCAGATATCTTAGCTACCTTGGACTGAGTGTGTCAATGCACATCTAGCCACTATATAGGTGCCAATTTTAATAGGAGCCCCAAAAAACGGTTGGGAATACTCCTAGAGTCTTTTTTTTTGACTTATTTTTCTTATTGTTTTTATTTTTTTATTTTTTATATTTGAATGCTCATTGGCATTTATATAATTTTATTCTCTGTTTCTCTTACCTCTTGGGGGAATTTAAACTACGATTTTTAAACTGGGATCTTTTTTACCCAGATCGCAGCCTTATTTTTTTTAGCTACCTTGGGCTGATAGGTGCCAGCTTAAAACCTTAGTCTCTTACTACAGGGGGGAAAACGTCAGGGTGCCTCGAAGGACCAAATGTTAAAAGGAGCCCTAAATAAATAGGTCTTGCTCCAATGAGTTCCTTTTGGAATTTCTTTTTCTGTGTCCCTTACGACTTGGGGGGAAACAACAGAGGATCCGGCTCGAAGGACCAAATGTAAGAGGAACCCTAAATAAATAGGTCTTACTCCAATGAGTTCCTTTCGGAAACTGATTTTATTTGGTATTTCTTTTATAAGTACGAAACATGAAAATCTTAAATCTATTTAAAACTACTTATCAACGCACTGCACGCTGACATGCTATGCGACGCTTTCTCAAGTGCGATAAGCGCACCACTTATGTATGTTTGACCATTTGACCATTTTTAAGACGGTTGTAATCTCTAATTAGCTATATTTTAATTTAGTGCATAAAGCACAAAAAAATATTTGGTTTTTTATTTTAAATACAATTATGAATTTGTATTTCAATAGAAAATTTTACTTAAACTTTTAATAACATCGATTTTTCTGCACCTCTACTGACACGAAAAACGTTGTTTTGCCACCAGTTGAATTTATAATTTCTGTACAAAATGTACTCAGTTCTAAACTTATGTATTATAAAGTCATCTGGAGCGCTGTAAACCATTAGGGAATATAAAAATCAAAAAAGGCCAACATTATTGTAAGTTATTATTTGATCGTAATTTAGCAAGTCAATCTCTTGGTGCTTTATCGTGAACAATATTTTTTGTGACGATAGCGTGATTATCGCTTTGTAATTGGTTCTTATGTAATTTGAATATTTTCAGCAATTCATTGTGCTCGTTCAATAGAGCATCTAGCTTGCTGACGATACGCCTGGCATAAAATGAATCAAGGTTATTATAATCACAACGTGAATTCACGCGATTGGCAAGTGCGCTTCCGGAATCCTCGCCACCCATAAAGTAGATTTGTAAGAATTTATGTGGTTCGTTTGGCATAGGCATTTTATGATAAACTTGGCCTCTGATTTTGAATGTAGAATTGTAATGTTGACCATTTTCATTAGTATTTAGAACTATTTCTGTTGCTCCAAGCAATGTCATTTAAAAGCATGAATTGAATGTTCGAATGACTTCACGATCACGTTAGAATCAGGATCCTTGCCGATAAGTAAGCCGTTAAATTGTTTAGGTGGTGTTTCAATTTCTGGTAGTGGGCTATTTGGAATCGCTAGCAGCATTTAATTAATAACTTCTAAACTATGATAGATGTCTTTAGTCGGCTTTTTCACTAATCAGAGAAACTTCATAAAATTTTTTAAATTTAAAAATTTAAAAAAAAATGTATTAAGACACAAATATTGTAAATACAAAAAATTGTTAATTTCAGAAGAAATCGAAATCAATGCACGCAAAAAGAAAGAATTTTCTACAGCTTTTTGCAAAATCATATGGTTTGTTTGTCACAGCTGCTGATCAGCTGATTGTAGAGCTTTTAAAAAGCTACGGCGAATCTAATCAACGCATCAGTTATCGACTTGTAAAAAATATAAACGCTTTTTTAAATTTGGAAATTTGAATTAAATGCCGCTAGCGCACAGTGGTCGATTTGGCCTCGCTAGTAGCGGCATTTAATTATGATTTTCAAATTTAAATAAACGTTAATTTAAGTTTACCTATCGATAGTATACACCTTGATTAGATGCTAATTTATGTTTTATAAGCTCATCAATAAGCTAATGATCAGCTGTGAACTGTAAAAGTCAACATATGTTTCAGCAGTTGATATTTACAATTATGGCGCCCTTTTACTTATTGGTTGCATATTTGAATAAATAGTGCAATTTACGATTATTCTAGTGCAAGTTTGGTTTTTAACAACTATTAAGGTATGTGCTATATAGAAAATCTGTGCTTGTGACGTGTCAGTATATGTGTTACTTATAAATTTTAGTGGATTTGGAGTGTATTAACAATGTGCGGAATAGAGCGCACACCAGTCTTTCGTGAAGTAGAACTTAACAAATTCACCTGAATTCACTCTGGTTGCAATTATTTGTTAAAGTGTGAATTATTATCTGTCCGAAATATCAAAAATGAGTGCGTAGTCCTGCGTATCTACAAGTTATTTCACTTTTTATGAAGAATGTCAGTGTCGAAGCGCGCACTTTTCTTAGTATGGCACGGCGAAGCCGTTACAATCAAATATGATTGTAACAAAAAGGAGTTTTGCAAAATTGGGGAAAAATAGTAGTTTTAATAGTGGGCTTGTCCAGTAGTGGAAGAAATGCGATATAAATAAGGCAGCTTTTGAAAAAAGGAATAAAGAATGGCTAGACACGCCTCAGGTGTTGATGGAAAGATCATCATTTAGAAATGTTGGACGCCCAAAGAAAAGTATTTCAGAGTGATGCAGAATAACTCAAATCAACAAACTATCAGGCATTTCGGAGAAAGTCTCGACGGATGTATTGTTGTTGGCTGCAAGTAGCAGCCTATATAAGGACGGAAATACATCAAGAATTGTGTCGAAGCTGAATGCTGACGAGTAGCTTACCGGGGATATTATAAGAACTGGAAGTACGGCCGGTACTGAAAGTACTAACAATGGAAACACTGCACGAAGATTTTTTGCAAATTTAGCTGCGCGCATAAAAAGAGTGACCAAATTTTAATATTCCGATTTACCATTGTCCTGCGAGCATTGTCCTGTGGACATTACTTAAACACCAATGCATTCGGATCGTACGCTATGGAAACTGCCGAAATTTTCGTTAATAAATATTCTTGGTTTGACATGCCATCGCCTGTTCACAGAATTTTAATTTTTTTGTGTATGATATATATAAAATTGTTGTATACAATGTATATGTTTCTTATTTGCTTCTTGCATAATATAAGTTATAATTCTATTTCTTACTCTTTTTCTTTAGAATACAAAAAATGTAATAAAAGTCTTTTTTTAAATATAAAAAAAAAAATTTAAAAAAACACTATAAATTTCATTTTTGTCCACATAATGCAAAATTGAGTAAGAAACCGAAAATAAAAAACCGATTGAAGATATCTCTAATATTTCAGAAGTTATTAATTTAATGCCGCTAGTGAGACCGAATCGACCACTGTGTAGCGGCAACAAATCGCCCACTTTGCTACGCCGGGATTTTTGGGGATCCCGCCCGCATTCCTGAGTAATGGCAAGCAGGCTGAAGAGGATTCTCAAGTGACTGTTGACGAGCAGCCTTTTTGAATTTAGACGTGAGATTCTGCCACGCCAAGTGAAATCCTTCTTATTCAAAGAGGTCAGAGCGATGATCGTTCTAGCCTCGCCGCTCATCTTCGCGTTCAGGTGAAACAGACGCTCAACCAGCCAAAGCCTCGGATTATTCCAACAACTGGAACTTTGCCTTTAAATTCGGATTAGAGGGGTAGCTGCGTGGTCGCCATCTGCAACTGGGAAGGAGCAGGTATCGTACTGTTTTTCGACCCGGTCCCAAAGGCATTTTACCTGGGCGCAACGGACGTTCGAAAGTACTATATGTTTCGATTTAGAGTTATCCCAGGTATGAGCGATATTTCAATAGTTGCAGAATCTTAAGGGCTATCTCCAAACAAAATATGATTTCAATCGTTAAATTTGAGCCAAGGTTTTTTTCCTTAAAAAAACAATATTTTCAGTTTTTTTTTTTACTATTTATACTATATATTATATATTTTTGTTTATTAAATATTTTTTTTTATATATATTTTCGTAAATATTTTATTCGATTAGAGTTTTCTTTCAGCTGATTACTGTGAAAGTTTCATGCGGTTTTCAACACTGAAAATTTTGGCGGGACTTTTAGCGCATTCACTTTTTTATTGTCGTTAACCACGTTAACCAAAAAGGAGATAGACATAGTTTATAAGTATTCAGCTCCATTGTTTTCAACAATAAAATATTGGACTGCTGAATTTAAACGCGGGCGGACAAGCATTTTTGACGATGATCGCCCGGGTCGTCCCAGAGAGGAAAGTCCATGGAATGATGTTGGATGATCGCCGAATCAAGCTGCGAGAGATTGCAAATGCTCTTAACATTTCTCGGGAACGCGTTGGAAACATTTTACACGAATTTTTACACATGAGTAAGCTTTCGTCAAGATGGGTGCCGCGATTGCTCACAATGGAAAATAAACGGAACCGCTTGCACATTGCGAAGGAGAGTTTGGAATTGCTTAACGCAAACAAAACGAATTTTTTCGTCGGTTTGTGACTGTTGATGAAACCACCTTATACAAAGAGTAAGGAACAGTCAAAGCAATGGATTTCAACTGGAGAAACGGCACCGAAAAAGGCAAAGATCGGTTTGTCGACCAACAAGGTGATGGCCACGTTTTTCTGGGATACCCGAGGTGTAATTCATGTGGATTATCTGGAAAAAGGCAGAATAATTACCGGAGAATACTATTCCAATCTCTTGGGAGAATTCGATTCGCAGCTGAAGAAAAAAAGGACGCATATGGCGACAAAAAAGGTTTGTCTTATCAGGATAAGTCCTCCCGCTCACAAGAGCGTCGTCACCATGTCGAAATTGTTTGAAGTGCACTACGAAATTCTACCCCATCCACCCTATTCTCCATATGTAGCACCCTGTGACTATTATTTATTTCCAAATTTAAAAAAGTGGCTTGGGGGTAAAAAATTTCCGTCAAATGAACAGGTAATCTGTGAAACAAACGCCTATTTTAAGGACCTGGACAAATGGAAGGTATTGGGAAACTGGAGGATCGGTGGTCCAAGTGCATACGTCTAAGTGGAGATTATGTTGAGAAATAAAAAAATTAAAATTAAAAACCTTTTTTTTTTTTGTTAGGCCGCCTTTTTATTAGCCTACCCTTGTATATAGATACTCATTACAGCGAATCTTTTTCCTATTCGTTTAAATTTTAATTTATTAAAAAAATTATTTATTAATTAATTTATTTGTTTTTTTTCTCTTGCACTATAATTGTTTTTCGCGGCCTTCGTTGGGCCGCGGCGAAGATGCCCAGTTGCAGTGTCAGCATTCTGTATCCGGCCAGCAACGATCACTTGTTGCGAAAATGATGAGCCAGTCCGCGAACGAATGCGTGGTCAGCACCTCTGTTCTTACGCGTGCGGGCCACTGGATCCGGCGTGCAATTTGACACTTTTTCTAATATTTTACTGTTAACTTATGTTACCTTATATGTAGGCTGCATAATTGCGGTACACTTTTTTTAGTGTTGTCATTGCACCCGGTACTCGTAGAGTGCAAGGGTATATTGTAGTCGTGTGAATGTATGTAACATAGAGACGAAATCATCTCCGACCCCATAAAGTATATGTCTAGTCATTAAGATTTTTCAACCGACATAGACATTGCGGAGTTAAAACTCTCTAAAGAAAGGCCCGTTGAAATCGAGCGGCCGAGAAAAAATTGACGTGCGAACAACTAGCGATTTATACAAAATTAAGCCTTACACTAAATAAATCTAACCGCCTATTAGCAATTGCTTATTATTTCACCAAATACTGTTCAAGTAATATTTAATCTGCACCACATATGTTCTCGCGGGTCTAGTTAGGTTTAGTTTTAGTTTTTATAGTTTTAGTAAATTGTAGTTAATTATATTATCTAAATCGCGTCTAAATTTATCTAAATGGTCACCAATATTTGGTCATTGAGATTTTTTTCCGCACCAAAATACAAAGATGAATTAATTTGTTTTAACGTTATACGATTATTAGAGGTGATATGTATACTCAATGGGTATTATCAAAGATTATAAACTACATAGATGGGACATCAGGGCCCAAAACGGTCAACTTTTTGCGTCGAGCTTGTTGGTGAGGGGGAAACGCACATGCATACGATTCTATTTTTAGAACTCTTCACATGTATCCGTCAACAAAAATGTGAACCTATGTGTGTATGTGTGACTGCTCGCACGACGGCGTAAAAATGTTTTGGCTTCCAAATTTCAATTTCAATTTCTCGTTTCTGTTTTCGATGCGCCGATGTGGTAGTTGGTAGAACAAATAGTATTTTTGATCGCCGCAGATCAAGACAGGATGGTAGCGTAATGCATAGAGTAGTTACTCTATGTGTAATTTTTCTGTGTTCAAATCATCGTAAGGACTATGAACTTTTTCTTTCTTTTATAATTATTATTATTTTTTTTTCTCTAATTTTAATATTTTTCTTTAATTTTACAATTGTAAAATTGTTTTATTCTTCATTATGTTCCGCTAATAAAATGCTAATAAAATTTCAAGGGAGTCCTTCCGGCATTTTGTCATCCGACACGTCCGTCACTTATTTTTACAATTGTAATAGAATAATAAAAACGTAAAATTTAAAAGTAAAAAAAAATTAATAAAAAAATATAAGTAAATATAAAACGAATCATAAAACTAAAACTTTATCAAAATTGAAACAACCGCCCGCTAATGAAGTCGAACCCAGGACCCAATGAATAATGACCACGCACTATCCATCTAGGGTACCCTCGAAGTTGATTTTATGATACTTAAAATTGGTGTTAAAGGAGGCGCTAGAATCCATACCAAAAACATAGCTGACGAGTAAGGATAGTAAAAGATATTTCTGATCTCTTTACTCTCACATTGGTTCGGATACAAAGTTTCAAACTTTCATCGTTCCAAAGATGTTACGATCTAAAAATAGAATTCTCTCTTTCCCTCTCTCATCTGACAGCCGTTTTTCATGGAACCCGGGTTCCATGACGCGGCCTGCCAAAATGCCGTAGAACCCGCACTTATAGACATTTTTAAAACGGGTTCCACTACGAACTGAGACGATGTTAAGGTGATTTTACAATTTTGTTTTTTTTTTTGGATTATAAATTTAGGAAAACACATTAAAAGAACAAAAATATAATGTAAATAGATTTAAAATTTAAAAAAAAATGGATGTCCCGAGCCTGGTTTGAGCTCGTTTTACTTTGCACACCAGCCAAGCACTCTACCACTCGGCTATTCCACCATTCGTTGTCGCGCGAAAAATTTCTCAAACTTAACTTGTCGCGCAATGGAACCCGCTCTTTGTATGAGATGTCCCATCTATGTACTTTATAATCTTTGGTGTTATCCATATATATACGATTTCCCATCTTGAAGACTATAAGAGATAGAACTATAAGATGTGGAACTTTGCATCGTATGATTTCCGCGCAGATCAAGTTTGTGTCAAAACTTAAGTGCGCCCGCCCCAAAAAAAAAATTTATTTTTATGCCAAACTGTTTCATTGGCTAATCTACACCCACAAATTTTAAAGAAGCCGAATCGGATAATTTTTAGAGGAGTTATGACTTTTTAGTCAGTTTCCCCACTGAATCGGTAGTAAGGTCGTAGGTTTGTTGTTTTTCCCAAGCGCTAAAATATGCAAAAAAAAATTGTTGCTTATAATCCATACTCTTAATGCTTCAACTTCAATAAAAGTTTGTAAATATTACATGTTTTGTGACTGCTTGCATAATATTTAATCATGGAACAAAAAATAGAGGAACACGACGAATACAAAAAATTTAAGGATTGACGCAGTCAATGTCACAAAGCGGGTCAGCGGGTTGCCATCCAAGATATATTGCTTTCTTGCACCAGCTGTATTATCTGTAAGCTGTATTTTTTCATTATTTTTTCAGTCATTTTGGTTCTTATAGTGCTTCTATTTATTCAAAAACATTTAGGCTCATGAAGTGTCTCTTACGTGTTTTTCGGTTTCCTTAATTTTTCAAATATTGTATTGTTCGTCTGATTGGTATCAAATTATTACAGACATACCAACATGGTATGCCTAGAAAACAGTAAGTACATTTTCGTTTTCAAGAGAACATAAAAAATTAAAATTTTATTCAAGAAGTTAAATTAAATACAATTAATTAATTAGCGATTGTGACCAATTTCATTCATTTGGGGTGCAGATATGTCCACTATTTGATTGTAAAATATTCTCGAGTTACTAAAAATAAAAATTTATTAATACATTATTCAAAATATTTTCAACAAGACGACTTACAACAAATCTTTTAATCGAATGGCGTGGTACATTCTCTGAACGAGTTTCTAGATTATTCATATTTTCAAATCGTTCCCGTATACTGAAAAAATTTAAAAAAATTTAAAGCTTAAGGTTATACATTAAGAGTTTAAATCTCACATTTTCGCACTTTCAATTGATTCATTGGATATAAGTTGAGAGTAAACATCAACGCGACCTTCATTCAATTCATTTTCCATTTCGTGAATTTGCCATTTTTCAAATTTTGAGCGCAAGTGCTTCGCACGGGCCGCATTCTTTGCCTGAAAATCGATTAAAAATATATAATAGCTGCATAAAAGATTCGAATTTGTCTGCTGTTACAAAAGTGCAGTAGAATTGTGTTTTCTTTCGAATATATTTAACAGAAAGAAAAAAAAAATAGTGATAAACCATAGCCATCTATATTTTTTAAGAGAATTAAAAGCTTATATGTGTTTTTCGTTCTCCTTTTTATTTTTAAACGTGGAAATTATTAATGGCAGGCACCTCATATGATGTTAACATAGCTTTGCATTTTGTTTCTTAAATTTCACAGAGCTAAAGCTTGCGTGGATTAAGAGCAGTGGTCGGCAGGGCCCTATTCCAGCGGCATAGGAATTTTCACTGCCCGCGCTCTGCCGCTCACTCACAGTATAAACGTATGAAACGTCAAGCTTCCAGCCTTCTTTCTGCGGTTCGTTATTATTTTTTGCCATTTTTTTATGGGTCACTCCACCACCACTAAATTACTGGAGTTGACATCCTTTTTCATAGATGGCTTTTGAAAGGGATTTTAAACTGATTTTATTGAAACAGACTTTAGTAAAGCCTTTGATTCGGCCAATCACTCACTCCTGTTGAGTAAACTCTTCTATTTATTGTTTTCATTAATGACATCTCGTCATGCTTTCGTCATTCCTTCTTCTTAATGTATGCGGATGAACTTAAAAACTATAAAGCCATTAGCTGCATTAGTGACAGTTACTTGTTACAGGAGGATATATTCTCCTGAGTTTACTTAAGGTGCTCCCGTAATCTTCTTCCATTAAACTTATCTAAGTGTATGTTTACCCGTTACAGTAAGCGGTCTCTTGAAATCCGCACGGGCTATTCCATCAGTAATTGTAATTTGGCAGCTAAAGAGGAGGTGTTAGGCCTTGGTGTCTTATTTGACAGCAAATATAAATTTTCTGGTCACTTAGACTATATTCTGCCTAAAGCGTATGCTATGCTTTTTTAGAGGCACGTGAACGAATTCAAAAGTCCATACTTGAACCTCAGCGTCTATGCTGCATTTATTCGGTCGAGTCTGGAATATGCCTCAATCATTTGGAATCCGGATTGTAAAGTTCGTTCTAACAGAATTGAGCGACTCCAGAAAAATTTTTTAAAATTTGCTCGTTTGCCTCTAAGGTTTCAGGATCCTGTTCCTTCATACCAGAGCCGCTGCCTTCTTCTGAATGTTTGCACGTTGGAGGATTGGCGTAAACTGGCAGCTTTTAATTTTTTGAACAATGTAGTCGTTGATAACATTGATTCCTTTTTTATTGGGACTCATTAATTTTAATGTTTCTCAAAGAGAGAAATGGCCTGGGGACATGTCAAACATGCCCGCGTTGAAGTCATCGTGCATAGGTGATAAAGATGGTGAGTAATCAACATATGACCACTTTAAATCTGGGATATTAGAGCTTTCACGATCGGTCATAAGATTAAAAAAGGATTGAATAGCGAGAAAATGATGTCAGTATGTGAGCGGTTCAGACGAAAGCGGTATATATAATATGAACATGTAATGTATGTAAAAAAAAATGTAATGTTTGGTGACAAATAAATTCTAAAATTTGCTTCATACCAGAGCCGCTGCCTTCTTCTGAATGTTTGCACGTTGGAGGATTGGCGTAAACTGGCAGCTTTTATTTTTTTGCCCTTTGCCCCCTTTCGGATCAAGTGTCACAGTGCCAATTATCTTTTAAATGAGCGAATTGAGCGGGGTTTTTTCTTATTTTAATTCTTTACCGCCTAGCCTCCGAATTGAGTTGGGCTCTGATAAGGCACTTATTAGGTTTTTATTAGTATTGTAATATTATTTATTAGTTTGTAAGTTGTTATTATGGAGCCATGTAAGGATTTAGTCGTTGGCGAAATAAATAAATAAACTGAATCTTCTGGGATTTCTTATAGACCTCCTTACGTGTATCTGTATAGCTACTTAGATGGAAGAACTCAAAGAGTCATATTTAAAAGTATACAATCTCACTTGGTCCGTGCTGACGTCGCACAAGAAAGTCATCTTTTCCCGTTACTATTTATTCTTTTTATTTGTAAGCAGATGATTTTACGCTTTGTCTTCAATACAAATCCAACTCAGCCCATTGCAATCTCCAGTCCGATATGGAAAACTTTCTAGAATGGTGTTTTGCAAATGATTTAATACTTAATGGATTAAAATGAATGTCTTTTTATCGTTCTGGCCCTCTGTAGGCTACGTATTCTATCTATGGGATCGCCTTAGAAAAATTAACTCAGATTAATGATCTCGGCGTCCAAATAGACTCTAAACTTAAATTTGCCGACCATATTTCCACAATGATTAATAAGGCTAAAAGTATCCTTGGTTTCATTAAAAGGTAGTCAAAAGAATTTAACGACCCCTATATTACTGAAAGCATATTCATTTCTTTGGTCCCTCCGATACTGGAGTACGCTTTATCTCTCTGGAGTCCCTATGGAGTACATCAGGATCCCCTATGGAGTACATCAGGACCGCATAGAATCCGTACAAAAGAAAATTACAAAAGAATTTCTTAACATTTTTCCTTAGAGGTCTTAACTGTCTTAATCTTCATCTGAATTAATATGAATGAGTAAGCTTTTAGTAATTTAGGGGTCGGTAAATTCTTTTTAACACCTTTGGATGAAACCAAGGTCACCTTTGGCATTATAAACCATTGTGAAAATATGGTCGGCAAGTTTAAGTTTAGAGTCTAATTGGATGCCGAGATCATTAACAGATGGAAAGCCTACAGATGGCAAGAACGATAAAAAGTTTTCAAGATCATTCTTGAAAGTTTTCAAGATCGGACTAAAGATTGCATTGTGCAGATATGGATTTTTATTGAAGACAAAGCTTAACATCGTCTGCATACATAAGAACTAGAGAGTTCATTAAAGCAGGGGGCGGGTCACTCAAAAGAGTAAATAACAAGGGGCCAAGATGACATCCTTGAAGGACGCCAGATGTAGCACGGACCAAGCGGGAATGTATATTTTTAAATAAGACTCTTTGTGTTCTTATATCTTAAAAGCTGGAGATCCACGTACGGAGGTCTATAGGAAATCCCAGCATATTCAGTTTACTCAACAAGAGTGAGTTATTGACTGAATCAAATGAAAATGTTAAAGTCTGCGTAGATAACATAAGTTTGAAATCCCTTTCGAAAGCCATCTATGACGAAGGATGTCAACTCCAGTAAATTAGTGGTGGTGGAGCGACGCCTAATGAAGCCATGTTGACATAGAGAGATTATCAAAGAGCAAAGGTGTTGCAAATGAGGACTAATTAGTTTTTCAAATAACTTTGGAAGTGCCGACAATTTAGAGATACCTCTGTAGTTAGCAGCATCCGACTTTTTCTCTTTTTTTTTGTAAGGGAATTATGAAAGATTCCGTCCACTTAAGGGGAAAAATCCAAAGATGTTTCCAAAGATAAGTTGAAGTCTGTAAAGAGGTTTGCACAGAGCCCTGGCACAGTATTTTAATACACAACTAAGGACTTCATCGGGGCCTGGCAAATAAACGAGTTTGACCCTTAGAAAATCAGATAATAAGCTATTCTCGGAGAAAAAGGGACAAAAAGGAAATAAGATTTTCTGAGTAAATATTGTAAACGTAAGGCTGATCTGTCAATTTAGGCGGAGAATAAGTTGTTTGAAAAAATTCCGCGAATAGATCGGCAATGGCCTGATCAGAGTCCGCAGATGAATTTTCAAACGTAGGCAGAGGGAGTTATAAAACTGCTTCGGATCCTGAGTGAATTGTATTCGGCAGCGGCGAATAACATTCAGCGTTATGCATGGTAAAATTTGACTGAGCTAGTAGATATCTTGAAAAATCTATACTACTGCAGTATTTGTTATTTTTAAGTAAGAGCCTATTTTAGGTATTTTTTTAGGTTAATGAGGCACCTTGTAAACCAAGGAGGATTTGTTGAAGCGGACCGATATTTCCATGGCACACAGGAGTAAAAAAATATATTTAAAGTATGGTAAAAAATTTCTAAGCTGACATTAACATCGGTGCTTGTCAGAGTATCGGACCAATCAAATGTATCGATAAGGCTAATAAGTTTCTGAAAATCAGCTTTACGGAAGCAGCGAATCTTATTTGCCACGCATAGAGACATCTGATCGATACCAGGAATAGTTTCGATAGAGACCTCCAGCGTGGGGTGATATGAATCCTCTGGGGTTGAAAGGGGAAAAGCTCTGGAGAGAGCGGTACCATCAGGATCAGATACAAAACATTAGTCTAAAAGCCGACCTAACGAATTTCTAACATGGTAAATCTGACCTAGGGACATGTCAAACATGCCCGCGGTGAAGTCATGGCGAGTGATAAGTGACAAAGATGGTGAGTTATCGACGTTGGACCACTTTAATTCTGGGATATTAAAGTCGCCCACCGCTACGAGTTGGTCACGAAGCGTCATAAGATTAAAGACGTATTGAATAGCGGACAAATGCTGCCAATATGTGGGCGGTTCAGACGAAGGCGGTATATATAAACATGTAATGTGTAAAGATTTCACGGACATAGCGATTTTAACGCAAAATTCTATGTCACCAAACTCTTGGGATTTCACCTCTTCAAAAGCAAGAGTAGAGTCTACCGAAATGAGGACTCCAACGCCCCTTTGCTGAGGTCAATCTAGTCTAAAAGTGGTGTACTTACTTGGAAAAACTTCGGAGCTTAAGATCTCCGGCTTTAACCAAGTGTCTGTAATGGCTATAATATGGGATGCAAAGGAAGAACTATCAGAATATAGTTTAGGGAGCTTGCTACGGAGCCCCCTAGTGTTCTGATAGGTAGGTGTTAGTGACGATACTAGTTTTTTGCGTTAGTGGAGAAAGAAGAGGTGGTTCCGATATTGGAAAGTCTCACTCCCACTGGTTTTATAAATTTTTTTCTTTACGGAAGTAGGCTGATGTTCTTGGACGAAAAAATTCTCTGGCCAAAAACTAGAAGAACAAATCGTCTTGAACATCAGCGCGGGCACACG